TGAAATTTAGGTGAAAGATTTGAACAGGCTGTCAGTGGCTTGAGTTCTAAACCCAGTGCATTAATATATGGTATTTATCCATGGTAGGACAAATATGTCTTTTGATGTGCTAGTGCCATCACTTCCGACTGCTTCAGTGTATTGCTATTTGGCGTTTATTACTGTACACAGATTTTTTTGGAACTGCTTTCAGATGAGTGACCTACTACTGATACCAAAGGGTGATTTCGGTAACACTACTGTTAGCACAGTCTAGTCCTGCAACTTTGCAGTAGATCCAACATATGTTCATAGAATCATAGAATGATTTGGTTGGAAGGAAACTTAAAGATCATCTAGTTCCAACCCCCCTGACATGGGCAGGGACACCTTCCACGAGACCAGGTTGCTCAAAGCCCCATCCAGCCTGGCCTTGAACACTTCCAAGGATGGGGCATCCACAGCTTCTCTGGGCAACCTGTTCCAGTGCCTCACCACCCTCACAGTGAAGAACTTCTTCCTAATATCTAATCTAAATCTTCCCTCTTCCAGTTTAAAGCCATTACCCCTTGTCCTATCAGTACAGGCCCTTGTAAAATGTCCCTCCCCAACTTTCTTGTTGGCCCCTTTAGGTACTGGAAGGCTGCTCCAAGGTCTCCCTGGAGCCTTCTCTTCTCCAGGCTGAACAAGCCCAACTCTCTCAGCCTGTCCTCACAGGAGAGGTGCTCCAGCCCTCAGATCATCTTTGTGGTCTCCTCTGGACTCTCTCCAACAGGTCCATGTCCTTCTTGTACTGGGGGCCCCAGAGCTGAGGGCAGTACTGCAGGGGGGGTCTCACCAGAGCGGAGTAGAGGGGCAGAATCCCTTCCTTTGACGTGCTGGTCACACTGCTTGTGATGTAGCCCAGGTTATCTTAAATAAAACCTGAATTTACTTGAGGACAGGACTCAAATTGTAAAGTATCTTCATGAATTGGTCTGAAATAATAGTCCATGCTACCAGAATAATAAGTGTGAAAGGCCTTTTCTGCATAAATATCAACAACTGCAAAAATACAATTTGGAGAATGACAGGCTCTGTTGTAGTTCTTCAGAATAATTTAAGATTTTAGCTGAACATGATCAAGTACCTCCAGATCCTTGCAAAATAGATAAGTCCACCCTGGAGCACATAGTTGGGAGCGTCAGCACACAAGGTACTTGAAATGATACTTTCACTTAGCTGGTTGGCAGTCCTGAGCACTCACCCCACTATGGAGCAATTGAAGAAAGCCCAGGGAGAGCAGGAGGAATATTCAGAGGGTTAAAAAACTTGTGTGAACTGGGTTTATGTAGAAAAGAAGCCTGAGGGCACATCAGATAAGAGCCTGTGAATATGTAAAGCGATGTTTCAGAAAGGAAGAGTCTCTGTGTCCACTGGCAGTTTGGTAAGTAGTGATGGATGATTGCAACAAGGGAGATACAGGTTACTTGTTAGGGAAAACCACTGACACTTAGGATAGCTAAGTTCCAGAATAATTGCCTACAGGAATTGTCAAGTCTCCATCTTTGGAGCCTTTTAAGAGCAGGTTAGATAAACATCTGTCAGGAATGCTTTTCTTCAGCTGATCCTGCCCTTGGGCAGGGCATGCAGTACATAACCTCCCACAGATCCCTTCAGCTCCGTTCTCTGTGATTCAACATCCTGCCACAGGAGTCCAAGTGAGCGATGCTGCTCTCCTGTTTGTTTCATTTCCCTACGTTGACAAGAAGATCTTTTCATTCCTTTGTTTTTTGCATAGGTGATCGGGGACTACTACGGAAAGCTGGGGCGTTTCGAAATTCGATCAAATGTGAAATATCCTTGGAATCATGGCAGGCTGCGACTAGATGAAAGCCGAATTTCAGACCACACAAACAATACACCATGTAAATCATGTAAGTTTAGTGACTTAATGCTTCTGCCCAGGCTGTCAGAGAGAGGAATCCATGTGGTGATGCAACATAAGGGGCCATATTAAATTTCTTAGCACAGTTGTCCAACTGAGACATTGTGACTATGTCTCTCTGCTGACTGGGAAGTTAAGGTCTGGCAGCCATGGGTAGTACGTGGTCTGAATCACTTCCCTGAACTTAAACGTGACATTAATCATGATGCACAACCCAGGGCACTGAAGGCTTTAGGACTTTCCGAGGGCTAAAAGGTAAAGTCTCTTAGCCAGAAAGAAGGATATAACTGAAATTGCAAACAGGGAATAATCTTAGCAGCTGGGGAGGTCAGTCCTGATGGGAGCAGTGTTCTCCCAGTGCAGAATGATTTTCAGTGCTATGAGAAGGCACTGCGAGGGGCTCAGTAGGCTGAGAAGAAGTGAAGTCACTTGAATGGGGCAACACCTGTGGATCCAGAAGGCTGGGACTACCTTCCACACAGAAGGTGTCCTTGTTTTCCAGCATACTGACTTTGCAGACGATGTTGTAGTGAGCAGGACATTGCAAGGAGATAAATGTAGGAAGATACCGGTGCTTCAGTGGCAAAGGGTGGTCTTAGCGTTTCACAGGAAAAAAATTGCTAGTCCTGCGGTGAAAAGGTATCTGCGGCCTGATAGTTCTTTGATCTCAGAAAAACCTGTGTGTACACACATGCTGTAGAGACTGTTTCCAGGCCATACCCTCTATGCTCAGCGTGGTGTAGCTATGCACCTTCTTCCTTCTGTACATCCTGATGTACAGACAAAATCCCCTCAAAGGGTCAAGGGTAAATGAAGAGGAGGGAGCAGTTTAATTTCTCTGTTAATATTTCTCTGTTCCTTTCTACAAACCCAAGTAGACATAGAATCATAGAATCATTTGGGCTGGAAGGGACCTTTAGAGGTCATCTAGTCCAACCCCTCTGCGGTGAGCAGGGACATCTCGAACTAGATAAGGTTGCTCAGAGCCCCATCCAGCCTGACCTTGAATGCCTCCAGGGATGGGGCTTCCACCACCTCTCCGGGCAACCTGTTCCAGTGCTTCACCACCCTCATTGTAAAAAATTTTTTCCTTATGTCAAGTCTAAATCCACCCTCTTTGAGTTTAAAACCATTACCCCTTGTTCTGTCACAGCAGACCCTGCTAAAAGGCCTGTCCCCAACTCTCATATAGGCCCCCTTCAGGTATTGGAAGGCTGCAATGAGGTCACCTCGAAGCCGCCTCTTCTCCAGGCATGGAAAAGGCTGCATCCACATGAAAATGCTATTGTTCTTCAGCTGCCCTGCACTTTGCAGAGTGACAGGGCAGTCCCTGCTTGGGCTCCCCTTCAGTCACAGTGTCCCTGCTCTGCCTGTGTTGAGATTTGGAGCAAGGTGAAGCTCATATGGCTTTAACCTGAAACAGCGTAGGTTCAGGAAAACAAAAAATTGAGGAGCTGTTGGATAATCATACAGTCATTTTAATAAACCTGGGTGATAGAGGGTTATGATGCTAAACCAGGTGAAATGAGTTTGTTTCTGTAATAATGACTCAGGGCACATTCAGTGCTGATTCCTGTTACGTGCGTTATTGTAATCCCAGTCTGTGTTATGATTCAGACCAAGCTGTCCAGACCAGTTTCCTAACAACATTCCTATGTATTACATCTCTAGAATTGTGTCTTCCTCTGACATTGATCTTGGGGTCTTGTTTAACCCCAAGGAAAGCAAGGACAAAAAATAAACGTGCAGAAACTGGAACTAAAGAAGAGGTTCCCATGGAGTCCTGAGCTCTCAAAGGCTTTAGTTATTATCTGATGTTGGTCAATCATTTCCTAGTTGTGTATTTTCCAATATGTGAATGCAAATAGTTCTCAGTATGAACTCTGATTGTTTATTTTTCCCCTTTTCAAGCAGGTGGTCTAGGAGAATCAGCAGTTACAGGAATAGTTGTGGGCGCCTTGCTCGGAGCAGGATTGCTAATGGCTTTTTACTTTTTCAGGTTAGTCCAATTCATTGAAAATTCTGTAAAGTCTTTACTCATCATCCAAACCTCTCAGCTGCTGGCAGCACATCCTTGATGGGAGACAGAGAGGCGCCGTAATAATCTGTGGTAACATTCCCACCAAAGACAGTGAACACAGTTTGATTGTCCTTTTGTGTATATCCAAATCATTTTATTGACTCAGAGCCTCATCCTGTAACCACTTACATCTCTGAGTAACTTTACTCATGGAAGTAATTCCAGTGAGTTCCAGTTGTTCACAGTTGCTTCAGTAAAGTGCCCTGGCCTTGAAAGCCTTCTTTCTTTGTACTCCTTGGCAGCACAATTGTTCAGGTTGTGATCATGCAAGAGATTTATATCGTTTGCCTGGTACCATGCTTAGTTTTTGAGTGTTGAGTGGAATTGTACTGGAAGCTAGAAAGAGGTTTCTGTTTTAGTGTAAGAGTGTTTGGATTTCAAAGCCGTGCATTTAACTTAATAAGCTGAGGTCAGTGGAGGGTGATCAGTGTTTTATTGCTGTTCAAGTAAAATAATTCTTACGCTGCTAGTCAGCAAATCTAAAGGCTGGAGAGTTGATCCTACAATGACAGAATAAATTAGTTATACATGTTCAGCATCTATGCTATGGAAGTGAAAAGGCAGATAGGAGAATAGTATTAACCTCTGCATATAGGAGTAAAAAAATTCTATCCAATAAAAATACCTGTTTATGAAAAAATGTTCACGAAATGAAACAAGCAAAAACTGCATCAATTCACCAGCACACTTCCAGGGTTTCAGAAGATCCCAGAACCAGGATTATTCATCAGGTGCTTACAACTGAAATTCTGCAGGGTGATTTTATTCTTGAATGTGTTTGGTGCTTACATAATAGGTTGTTTGGGTTTGAGACAAGATAAGTTAGCTGGGGCTGATTAAAGAATTTCTTTAAAAGGAAAAGAAAATACAAGTCTGTCATTATATTGAGTGTCATCAGAGATTGTTGCATCATTTATACATTCTCAATCTGAGATGATAATTTTTAGGTGTGTGGTTTAGCATTGCTGATACTGGGAGGGAATTGGTATGTGCGAGCAAGAAATGAGTTAAAAGACATATCCTGAGCTGGTATAAACCTATGCAAAGCATCCTTGTAGGAACAGGACTTAAACTATCAGTCATCTAACAGAAAGATTTGGATTGGAAATCCATGTGAGCAAAGGTGAATGTCTGTAAAAGTAGATGTACACACCTGAGCTCAACATCCAGTCTTTGTATTTACTGTCAGAGGGGAGAAATGAGCACTTTTTTCAGTGCAGTTCATGTCATCTTCATGTGAAAGCTAAACCAGGTCAGAAGAACACCTCTTAGAAATGCCTGTTTCTCTCCATTGACTGAAGGAAGCCGTGGGTACTCTGTCAGATGGATCAGCATGTTGGAGACATCTGAAGACATATGGATGAATTTCACCCTGGGGATCTGATTGCACTCACTCAAAGCGGAAACAGGGGCAACCTTCTAATTCCACCGTTAGAATAAACCTAATAAACATAACATATCAGGATATATGGGTCAGATTTTCAGAAAACATAGGTCTAGCAATTGTGTGCCTGGAAGTAATTTGTACCTGCAGCTTTTCTGTACCTTTCAAACTGTATATGTACCTTCTGATTTTTGGATCTATAATTTCCACAAATGAGCATGCACAGTTTTGAGTGTGCATGCAAACCAGTAAAAGACTCGGGTAGTAGTTCTGATATGTAGCTTTGAAAAGATTTAAACTTAAAGAGCTGCATTTCTAAAATGTGGACCTGTCCTTGTGCATGAGCTGCTACTGTGCATGCTCTGACCTGTGGAAGGATCTGACTTGAAAATACATAAATGAAGTAAAGAACATAGACTTTTCAAGTTATTTTGGAGCCTGCTTATACAGACACAAATGTGCAGGGAATCTTTTCAGAACTTGGAGGTTCCCACTTTCTATTGAGCCATGTTACCCAAATTAAAACCTTGGTTTTATTCATTCTTTCACTATTCTTTTTCTTCAGCTGCTACATATTTAGCTCTGACTCCTGCTACATATGCAAGTGGAGCAGAGCTTTCCTTGGCATACAAGCTTTTTGTCATGCATCTACACAAGCAGTACTGTATGCACATGGGACTGGACTAATGCCCTTCTGAAAAATTGGTCCTGAAACAGAGCATAAATGGATAAAATATAAATGTAAATCTTCTTATCATTTTAGGGGAGATTTGAGTACTAAAGGGGAAACTGAAAGGCAGTCAGAGGACTTGTTTGACGTATAAAGTAACATAACATTCTTCAAAAGGCCCTAGAGGAAGGCACACAGGAAAAACTGTGGCTGATGCATGAGCAATTGTATTTATTTCTTATCTGTCCTCCACATCACTCTTCTTAATTCATCATACTACCTCCTCTGACATTACAAACATAGTAGCTTTCTCAGAGGGAGATGGGAGGATTGGTTAGTTAATATACAGTTTCAGTGAGAAATGCAGCTGAATAGAAAGCCAGATCTGTTGTTTGAACTCTGCAGAAAGTGACACCACCCCACGCCCCCCCATATACTGGAAAGAAATTTGGCTTTGATCAATATAAAGCAGTGATGTGACGCAGTTCACATGACACTTCACAAAAACTTCCTAATCACTTAGATCAGAACTTTACAAAGAAGCAAACGTTTGTGTCTTGGTGCTTTGAGATTGCTGTGTAGAAATAAACAGGCATTCTTGAGCCTGGGTAAAATGTTTTGAGGCAAACTACTTTAATCTTTGACCAGGGTTTCACATTCTGCCGCATTTCATTTTTCAGCTGGCACCCAGCTGTCCCCAACAGGCATTCTTTATAAGGGAAGTCCTGTTATCCTATAGCTAGAGAAGGATTTCTCACTCTGTTCCTCTCCTTTCATGCAGAAAGAAATACAGAATAACTATTGAGAGGCGAACTCAACAGGAGGACTGTAACATGGGGAAACATCGGCAGTTACGTGAAGACTCCATTAGATCTCATTTTTCTGCTGCATAAAGAAGAAGAAGAAGAAAAAGAATCCCATTGTTCCTAGGGGGAAAAAGAATTAGAGAAAAGGATACAACCAAAGATACCAATGTAAAAAGAAGAGGCTCTTGAAGAACTCACTCTTTTAAGCAGTAATTTTGTCTTAATTTCTTTCAGAAGCTCAGGAATGATTTACTGATCACATTATGCCGCATGGCCTTTCATCTCATGAAAAAAAAAATGTTGCAGTTTGATGTTATAGAATGTACTTAATATGTAAAGACAGTATTTCTTAAGGCATAAGGGCAGCAGATCTGGGTTTAGTTGATGGGGAATGCCTCATTCTGTTCCCTTTTTTTTTTTTTCTTAGCTCCTACCACCTCCTTCCTTAATGACATCTTACCCATGGGTATCAAATATGGTTTCACAGGCACAGGTGCTGGTTGCTGTCAAAAGGAAAAAAGGGATTCATTTGGGGTATGATCCTGCATCACTGAATCATTGCCATTGATTACAGGGGATACAAGATTGGGCGTATCGAGTTTAGTTCTGGGAGGGAATTGGCACTTGGGTGCAGTTAACTCCACTAGGGTGTAATTAACTCCACTGAGAAAATCAGGCAGGTGGAAACACACCCAAACTATTCTTTCCTTGTTTGTGTAGTACCACAATCAAAAGCACTGATTCTCCCTCTTAGGTGCTGGGAGTTAGGAGAAACTCCAGTGAACGATGAGGAGTTTCACTGATGTGAAATAGTGAGAGAGAAGACAATCAGACCTCTGGAGAGGACTGGCTAATTCCTCAGTCTTATATGCTCTTACCATGCTTTATCGTGCTCTTTTCTCTCTACTGCCGTGACTTTTCAGAGAGACAAATACAGTCCATGTCGAGCCTGCTCCTGTTCCCACTGAAGTCAATGGCAAAATCCCATTAACTTCAGTGAGCACAGGACTGCATCCAAACTTGTAAATATGAAAGTGTTTGTATAGCTGAGGCAATTCAAAAGGGGATCTTTTTTTGTGTAAAAATGACATTCCATGCTACCATTTTATTTTTAGGATATTTTTTATCTTGTATTTTTCTATTAAAGTATCTATTTTTGCTTTGGTAGGATTAAAAATTAAGGGAGAGGATGTTTTGAAAATGTATTTTTTATGATAGGAGTAACATGCAGGGAAAGTCAACAGCTGTAAATACATTTCAGAACCAGTATTTAGGGGAGGAGAAATGACTATGAATAGTAACAGATTTTTTTGTCCCACTTTCTTCTCCAGGCATGTGCAAGATTCAAATAGTTATTTAAATAATATAAATGCATTTATTGAGTTGTCTATATGATGATGGCCCTGATCCTGAAAATAATGAACTTTTCACGTGTTAAGTAGTCCTACGTTAGTCAGTGAGACTAACTATTCATGTGTGTACAATTAAACACACAAGGAACTACCTTCAGGAATCAGGGTGGTAAAACACTGCTCCAGGACTGACTTTAATCCTGCTGCCATCAGTATCTGTGGGACTTTTGCCATTGACTTTACCAGGAGCAAAACTGAATCTGTGATGAATTAGCTACTGACAGGTTATTTTATACTAGACAAAGGAGAGCTCTGCGCTTTTATAGTCAACAAATGGAAATGAACGGTATGTATTATAAATGTGGTGAAGAAGACCCATAAAATACTGTCTGTGGGAAAACCCAGCTATGACTGTGGTCCTAGTGCATGAAATCTTACGGTTTATCCTATTCTGATTTCATAAGCAGAACTTTTTGGTCTCAGCAGTCATAGTCAGAGCTGAAAGTTAATCTCAAAACTGGCACTGAAGCCTGTGTTCTACAAAACTTCTAGGCCCTGAGAAGCCAGAGTGCCTGTTCAGAGAAGCCATTTTGAGGTAGCTGGAAGTGAATGAAGAGCGAAAGCTGGCCCTGTCTTCTTTCTGCTGCCTTTTGTCTGTTGCTGGGGAAATACCCCATGGAGTATTTCCTTGGACTTTTTTTCTTATGTTTCGCTTGTCTCTTGGCATATGCAGGGGTTTATCACCTGCCCTTGTGAAATACTGTCCAATGTCCTAGGCAGCCAGAGGGCAAGGCTTCCTGTCAGGGCAGCTCCAGTATAGGTGGTTGATGCAGACCAGGTAGATTTGGTGTCTTTAGGGCTCACTGTAACAGCTGTTGTTCATACAGTAGGTTTCCATCTTCCTGTTTCCCAGTCTGGGCCTGTATGACTTCTGCAAAGGTGGCTTAGCCAAAGTAACACTGCGGTCAATGGACAGTTTTCTGAAGTAGACACCTTATCTCACGGGCACCAGAGAAGTATGTAGGCTAGAGCAGCATTCATACTGCTATGGAGCTGGGGAGAAAAAAAGACTTCCTGATGAGTTTTTGGAATTTTTTTCAAGCAGTTGAGTTTGTCTAGCCCCTGTGCATGCTTAAGGTTTGTGACGTTTTTAATAATTTCCCAGGAAGTTTTGATCTACTTCTTGTTTTGCAAACACGCCGTTCAGTATTTTTACTTCATTTTATCCATTTGACTACTTTACCACAGAAAGAGGGAAGCAAAAATTTTAAGTATGTAGAGAAAAGAGAGTATGATTTGAAGCATGAAATTTTTTCGAGTGACATTTCTTATGACTTGCCTTGCGGTGTGAACTAGTACTCAAACAGTAGTTAGGGAGCAAGACAGTAGTGTAGATCTGTATCTTTTCCTGTGCCATACACAGTCAGATCAGATCAGAAGGTCTGAACAATGTAATCTAATCTAATCTTAGCAATCTAAATTGTGAAGATAGTTTTTTTATTGCATCATCTTACTCCAACTAAATATATTTTTTAAAAAGTATATTGAAATGTCACTTTTTAATTAAAAAGATAATAATTCTGTTCCCCAGTTTTATGTAGGGTTTTTAATCATGACCTCAGGGAGTGGTTTTATGACATGTCTGTTGGTTGGATGTTGATGGAGGCCTAGCCACAATGTTACATCCCAGCACCTCCTAAAAAAGGTGAATCTTTCTTACACATTAGAACATTTTGGATCAATGGGCTTTCATCTTTCTAAATTGGTGCACACCTATCTGTGCATTTTTCCCATAGAAGTGTGGGGATCATTTAAGATATTTCACATAAGTAGATTCCTGTATAGCATAAACAAACTTGCTCTGCCTAGCTGCCTTTCACAGGCCTCTTGCTAATAATTCCTAGGTCTTCTATGGACCATAGATCAAAAACTGCCTTGAGTTTAGATTATTCAGCAGAGAGATTCTTTATGAGTTAATGCACTTTTCCTTTCTGGTTCATCTGCATTAGCTCAATGCCACAATGTTTAGACTTCAAACTCTGTAAGGGAATGTCTAATGAAAATATTAATAATTGATTCTCAAAAGAGTTTTCAAAACCTGCATTTTTGGGTTCAACAAATTGCCCATATTACAAACATACATCTGTATTACAGAACAGCACAAGGAGGGCCTTGACTCAGCTCAGCACTTTAGAACACACTTGAAATATGCTCAACTTCAGCTTCTAAGTGCTTTGCTCACTTGGGACCAAAGGGTATAATCCTGGCCATGGCTGAACCAAAGTGAATCTTAACATGTGCTTGAATTGGAGAAGGATTGGCCTCATAGGCCAGATGTTTATTGCTAAATCTTACAGTTGTGCTAGTGGCTTCATACTTTTTGTTTGTCAAAGTTTGACAAATTCTGCTATTTTTTTTAAATTACCAAATATTGGTCAGGTTAATAGCTGATTCACTTCAGAATTCTGTTCTTGAGGATTCTGTGGACAAATTACCTGACTTCCACCCTCTTATCTTCAATGTGTAGACTACCACTGCAAGTTGACAAAGACGAAGCAAAACTTTCAATAGTACCTGTGATTTAGTATGCTGAGACCAACAGCTTTAGAGTCAGGTGCCTAGATGCTTTGTCCTGGGGCAGTCGTAGTTCTGGAAATTTTGTTTATGGACAGCTTGTGTGTCCTGAGTTGCCTGTGACTACCACCATCACCAGTTAATTACTAGTACCTTCTGTGATGTGCTTCTCTGAAGACCAAACCCAGCTAAGTTCTGAGAGCATTCAGTCATTGCTAAAAGTTTTGATTGAGAGTGCTGTGCACCTTGCAGGACTGTGGCCAGAATTCAGTTTATTAAAGAGTGATACTAATTCACTTCTGAAAATAAATTTTATTGATCTATTTCCAGCTTGTTTTTAAGAGGTACTTTATTGCATTACTGAAAGTATTTTGTTGGGTTTTTGATGGAGAATTACTAAGATGTAGCTAATGCTTTGAAAACATTTGTGCTGGACAAAGTATGAGTGTGCTCCCTGAGAGCATGTTTTACTGGGAGGTTGTTCTCTGATTCATTTTTTGGCTTGGAGATGCAATCACACTCTATTAAGTTGACAAAAAAACCCTCTCATTGACTCAGTGGAAGTAAACTCAGGCCCTCCGTGAAGTGTCTTCAGGCTTTAAACTCAGCATCTTGAAGCAGTTCAGAGTGAATTTCTCAGCTTTGCAGTAGAACAGGCTGCATCAGCCTTAGCTGACCTTGGCTCCAGCATGATTTTCACCTCATGAATGCCATAATGCTCCTGGAAAGCCAAGAATAGACATCAAAGACAGGAAGCTAATAGTCCTGGTCATAAATTTCTTTGGCAATTCAGTCCACCTTTTCCGGAGCTCAGGACAGTTCCACATCCTTCACTACCCTCCTCTGTACTTCAGAATAGCCATGTAGCTGTTCTGTTTCTTTAAATAAGGCAGCTGAGGTCATTTTTCCTCATTTTGTCCCAGAGTAGAGTGAACACCCTTGAATTCCCCATTTTTTTCATGCTTTTTTCTCTAGCTTCAGGAGTACTTTGAAAAGAGACAGCCATTTTCCATCATTTAGTCAGAAATGTTCCCTCTTCACTGAGAGCTGGCTTTTACATAATTTCAGCCGTTGTTCATTGCCACCGTGCTGCTCAGCTGCCAGCACACCTCGTGTTGGCCCATGGCCACACCAGCCGTTATCAGAGGTCTAGACCCAGAA